TCAAAAATTAGTCGTTAAAATATTACCGTTAAAACTTCGGGACCACTCCAAATATGACCGTTTTTTTGTATCCGTTACTTTACGACCGTTTTTTTGTCATTTTTTGCACCAAATGTCTTTATAAATGACAGGTCTTCATTTTCATCAACTCAACTAAAACTTCTTCCCATTTCTAAAACAAACACATTCATCATGAGTATCTCAGATAGCTCATCGTCTGGAGAAGAAGAAAACGAAGAGTACGAAAGGTTTCACCACCTACGTTTGAGTTTGATCGGTCGGAGGCTGGCTGAAGGTGCATCAAGTCGCCGTCAAACTACAAGTCGACGTCACATTGATCGTGAGAGGGTCGAATGTAATCGACGTCTTATGAGGGATTACTTCGATCCAAATCCAGTATACAATGCTCGCATATTCAGAAGGCGCTATCGGATGCAGCCAAGATTATTCCATCGCATTATGGGCGATATTGTGAGGTTTGACCCCTCATTTGCTCTAAGGCGTGATAGCTTTGGTCAATTGTCACTATCTCCAGAGCAGAAGCTTACTGGTGCGATGCGCATGCTAGCATATGGTTCTCCAGCTGATCAACTTGATGAGTATGTTCGTATGGGTGAGAGCACCTTGATGGAGGTCTTCAGAAAGTTTTGCAACAACATTATCAACATGTACGGGGCCACATACCTTCGCGCACCTACTCCTGCTGATTTAAGGATCTTACTCCGTAAAGCCTCAAGTCGTGGCTTTCCTGGAATGATTGGATCAATTGACTGCATGCATTGGGAATGGAGGAATTGTCCAAGTGGTTGGGCAGGACAATACACTGGCCACATGCATAGGCCAACAATCATTCTGGAGGCGGTGGCCTCCTACAACACATGGATATGGCATGCTTTCTTTGGGACACCTGGATCGAACAACGATATAAATGTTCTGGGGATGTCACCAGTGTTTGATCATATCGTCAATGGAAGCGCTCCACATGTACGATTTGAGGTAAATGGTCATGCTTATGATCAATGTTATTATTTGGCTGACGGTATTTATCCCTCATGGTCGACTTTAGTGAAGACCTTCAGCAATCCAAGGTCAAACAAAGAGGCTTTGTTTGCTCAACATCAAGAAGCACACCGCAAAGATGTGGAGCGGGCATTTGGAATCCTCCAAACAAGATGGGCAATTGTTCGTGGCCCTGCAAGAGCTTGGGATGTTCTCACGCTTAACAATATAATGCTGACGTGCATTATATTACACAACATGATAATCGAGGATAAGCAGGTTGATTCTGATGACGAGATGGATGATGACCTTGATTATGAAGTCCATGCACAACCTGAACCAATCAACCGACACCAATCAACTCTAATTGATTACTTGGCTAGAAATAACAGGCTTCGCTCATCTACAACACATCATGCGCTTAGAAATGACTTGGTTGAGCATCTTTGGAATTTGCACGGCAATATCTAGCATTGTTTTACTTCATGTTGCTTGGTTGTTTGTATTTCAAGTTTCAGTGTGTGATTGTATTTCATGTTGCTTGGTTGTTTGTATTTCAAGTTTCAGTGTGTGATTGTATTTCATGTTGCTTGGTTGTTTGTATTTCAAACTTTCAATAACACTTGTTTTTATTACACATGGAATTGCTCAAAGTTCAAAGAGTACACATGACACATGAAAATAACAAAGTTGAAAGAGAACACACAACACATTAAAGATGTAAAGACAATAGAGTACAAATAGGATCTTCTTCTAATTAATAATCCATGACAGGAAAGTAATCGCCATCTCCTCCACCACTTTCATCGCCATCTCCTCCACCACTTGCATCGCCATCTCCATCTCCGCCATCACTTGGATAAGAGTTGGGATCATCTTGATCGTACCCATAAATGTCATTTTGTTTACGCCTCCAAAATCTCTTCTATCTTGGTGTCATCTTTGACAAATCCTTCTCCAGAATAGCTACATTTTGTTGAAGTATTGCAGCTTCCCTCTCTTTCTTCTCCACAGCCCACTTTTCCGCTTCACGCTCCCTCACTTGCCTCTTGTATGCCCATTCCTCTTTCTCCTGCTCTAGTCTCCTCTCTTGAACATTCATTTTTCTGTTTTCGTACTCCATCCTCGACTTTTGCCTCTCTCTCATATCATTACCAAACTCTAGCAGTTGAGTAGTGTATATGTCTGACGATTCAGCAACTACCTTACCTTTCTTCTTTGCTGCCTTTTGTTTGTCGCGTCCTTCAGGGCGAGTCAACACGAAAGGCGTAGCTCCTTCATCTGGTAAGTCATCAAGACCTTCCACGGGAGATGATTGAGAACCAAAACCTGTTGGAGAACTTTGGGAACCTTGCCCCATAGGTGGAATGGGACTAACAAGCAGGTCAGGATTGGAGTACCACTTTGGACAATTTCGAAGAATGTCGAAACAATGCTCAAAATCAAAAGCCTTGTTCCCATTCTCTTGCTTATATATTGCTCTTGCCTCCTTTTCCTAATAAAATATGTAATACATGGGTTAGAGAAGTTTTTTTTGACACATAAAAAATAAGAAAATACACAAGTTGAGGGTCCAAAAGAATACCACATCAAACTGGTTCGTGCCACTCGATTGATGCCTTTGTGCTCTTTGCAAAACTCCCTTCCAAGCATTGCAGTGATAGCAAATAATCCTCATTCGGGATTCCATTGCAATAGCAGTACGAATTGTAGTAGGATCCATTTTTGATGTTCTACCGCCACTCTTTCCCACAACCTTGTATACTTCTGGTTGGTGCCAACCGCTCCATCTTCTGATATCGACACCCAAGCTCTGCACAAGATTTCATCTTCATTCGGACGCCAATTAGGTCCTCTCTTGCCTGTCATATTTCTATTTTGAGAGACGATAACAATTGAATTTTGAGAGAATGCGATTTATGCTCTGAGAATGAGTGAAGAGAAATCTATGAAGAGTGCTGTAATATATAAGAAAAAATATGGCCGTTAAAATATGACCGTTTTTTATGGCCGTTAAAATATGACCGTTTTTTCGTCACTACATCAATTATTTCAAATTTATATTTCAAATTCAATCACAAACAACCAATGAGAATAGAGAAAAAAAATCTAAAACAAATTGACAAAATAAATTCCCAACCAACAAAAACAAAAGTTAAAAGAAAAAAAAAAAAAAGCAGTCGGCTGGCGAGGGAGGGCGCAGGACGCGCGCCTGCGCCCTCCCCCGCCAGCAGACCTTGTACAACCTTTTTGGCAGCCAATTTTAACTTCCCACCCCAAAACCCAGCCAAATTTAACTCCCAAAAACCCAATACCCATATTTTGCTTCCCATTTTTTTGTGGGTTGGAGGAGGAAAAAAAGCCAAATTTGGCTTTTAAGCATTTTAGCTCCTTGGGTTGGAGCCAGCCTAACCATATATCCTATACTTTACACCACATACCTTGTACCCTAACCACGTACCATAAACATAAATTAAAAAGGGATCTCCTGCCGTTAAAGACTTGAAATGACTTCAAGTGAACATATGTTAATAAAAAACTTAGAACCGTCAAAACCATCAATATCTTATACCCTAACCATATACACCCTAAACCATATGTACCTTATACCTTATACCCTAACCATATACTTTATATCCTAAACAACGAACCGTCAAAGATTACTTATCAAGTTTAGTATAAATTGTTGTAACTAATGGTTAATTTATTTATTAGCCCATAAAAAATTACATACATATATACATATTAGCCTTCAAGCATATAAGAATAATTTTAACTAGTCATGCCCTCCATATAAAAGTTAAAGATTCATATTTCAAAAGCTAAAATTATGAAAACACCAAAAATTGAAAACACCAAATTTGTTTCCTTCTTTTTTTTCAAAAAAATACTAAAATTTCCCTCCTTCTTTCTCCTTCCATACATTAGAAAAACTCAATTTTCCCTCCTCTTTCTCTTCCATAAAATTGAAAGAAACAAATTACACTCTTTTTTCCTTCTACAAAAAGTTGAAAAGTCAAAAGTTTCCCTCCTTATTTCTCTTTCATAATCAAAAGAATCAAACTTTCCCACTTCTTTCTCTTCCCACATATCAAAACCACCAAAATTCCCACTTGTATCTTTTCTAAAAAAATCAAAGAACCAAATTTCCCTCTTCTTTCTCTTCCCAAAAACTTGAATACACCAAAATTTCCCTCTTCTTTTAAAAACATCAAATTACCAAATACATTACTTTACTTTATTTATATTTAATTGATAATTTTATTGAATAGTTAAATTAACCAAAATTTTAATTTATATATTATATTAATATTGTCATGATCTCAAGTGACCTTCATGTTTCAATTTTTATAATTTTCTTAAAATACGTAATATCAAGTGAGTTTCATATTTTTAAAATTTCTTATACGAAATGAAAAAATAATTTTACTTAAGTTTAGAATGAAAAACTTTATTTTGAAAAGCTATGTATTGTATATTTTTATAATTATTTCAAGTGGATTAGATGAAATTCGGGTTGAGTCGGTCGGGTTACGGGTTAGTCGGGTTCGGGTCAATCGGGTTCGGGTTAATCGGGTTGCGGGTCAGTCGGGTTGCGGGTCAATCAGGTTCGGGTTAATCGGGTTTCGGGTTAGTCGGGGTGTGGGTTAGTTGGGTTGCGGGTCGGGCGGGTTACGGGTTGTTGACTTTTAGTCAATTTGGGTTGCGGTCGAGTTGCGGGTCGGGTTGATCGGGCGGGTTAATCGGATCGGGCTATATTTTGACACCTATATATGTGGACTGGCGGGCGAGGCGAGGAGTAATTAGGCCCAATAATTACGAACATGGGCCAAATTAACTCATTGGCCGAGAAGATTAGGTAAACCAACCTCCAGCCAGATCGGTGCCAATTACCATACTACCCCTAATCTGGTAACGTCGATCCTTGGGCGAAAGGTAATTTGAGGATCCTTCATCCTCCTCCTTATAAAAACCCTAAAGACTCGCCTGCCTCCTCCAACATCTGCGTGCGAAACCTAGCAGCAGCAGCCGCCGCCTCAGCCTCAGCCGCTATCCTTGCTTTTCTTCGTTGAGTCTCCTCTAAGCTTCGAAAGGTTCGTTCTTTCTTGAAGCTCTGCTTTGCTTCTTTCCACTCACGTTCCTTTTTGTATCTCTGTTCAAGCTTCCATTGTCCCCCGATCCATTTATTCATTCTTGTTGTGGCTATGGTGGATCCTGAAGCTGTGTTGTTGAGCGGTGTTTTTACTTCGACTTGCCTGTTGGTTGGTTGTCTGATGATGAAACCTGTAGAGAGATCGATCGATAGGTTTTTGCTGAGTGATGTTTGATGATTGTTTGTAAAACTCCGGATTTCGTGTTCGCCTTCCAGGAATCGATATTATATGGACAGATTGTTTGTGCTCGGATTTGAACGAATCTGATGGTGGTTGAATTACGGTCGCATTCTCTGAGGAATTGGTTTCTAATTGTCTTTGGGTGCGATTTGCACTATTCTGTTAGTGGTTGGATTATGGTCTTAGCTGATGCTTATTCCCCCATTTGAGTTTAGTTTGCGATAACTATGAGTCGAGTTACTTAAACTAGAAAACTAGGGCTTGCTAATTTCATATGATGAATTTAGTTATGATGGTGGCATCTGTAACTATGATCATCATGCTTTGCGATTTGTAATACACCAATTGTGTTAGACTGTCTACCGCACTTAAGCTTGTCATTTAGGTTTGTTTCATCTGTTGAGCCAATTGAATTTGCTGCTTGTGACATTGGTAGCATAGATCCAACACTATGGTGCCTATTGATAGCTGATGTCCTGTAAATATCATCATCCTGTGTTAATAACTCTTCACGCAGTGGTATCCTCTTTAACTCTACTACCATTTTGTAACTTGTGCAGCAGGATGGACTCTCAGACCAAGCACGCTTTGGTTGTGAAGGTGATGGGCCGTACTGGATCCAGGGGGCAGGTGACTCAGGTCCGAGTCAAGTTCATGGACGACCCCAACCGCTTCATCATGAGGAATGTCAAGGGTCCAGTGAGAGAAGGCGACATCCTCACCTTGCTCGAGTCTGAAAGAGAGGCCAGGAGGCTTCGTTGAGATCTTACCCTTCTGGTTTGGGACAGGTTTCCCGATGGCTTGTTATTGTGGTGTGTGTCCATCAGAACTTGGTGTCATTGAGGTTTTGGTTCATTTTGACATGCTCAATCAAATTTTGTTGTCATGAAGACTTGGAAATCTGTGTTGTGAGTTTTATAATTTACGGATGGGATTTTAAGTGATAATCACTCTGAACGTTTGAATCTCTTTCATAGCTTTCTCCTGTTGGATTGTATTTTTTTCTCGTGTTGATCCTGCGTCCTGCCACCTAAAAAATGCGGCTTGCTGCCCTAAGTTTGTTTTCTTCCGTGGTAGAAATGGTGAGCTTGATACAGTTGCCAAATAACAGGTTTGAGACCAAATAACACAAAAAGTGTTGTTTGCCAAATACTTGGGAGGGGGCAGGTATTTGCCAAATAACAAGTTTGAAACCAAATATCACATACCAAATAACAGGTTTTATATTATGTGGTATTTGTGTGGTATTTGACCCCAAACAACAAGTTTGTCAAATACTCAATCCAAACGACCCCCTAATGTACACGTTACAAAGACGGTGAAGACATTCGCCATGTTTCTCAACAGCAAGGATGTGTTCGCCCCTTTTTTCGGCATTGATAAACATGAAACTGTTCTAGAGATATGTGGTGAACACATCACCGTCTTTGTCTTTCTCTACAGAGTCACCATTTTTTACATAAACGGTGAATATCTTTCGAATACTTTAACGTTGTTGTCTAACACAGTGAAATGTCATTGCTTTTATCTATTGTCGTCAAGATCTTCACATTTTCCATACTCGAAAGATGAAATTGTAATTGACAACAACCTAGCCTTCACCGCTGTAGAGTGTAGACTACCGCGTTGAAGATGTACTTGCAGTCAAATATAAATAAGCTTCTCCCCCCACCCGTGAACCAAACTAACCCTCCCATTTTTGCCAAATCCTGAAGCAAAATTCCTCTCCTCTGCAGCCGTTCCTAGCAAACACACTTACAAAAACTCAAATTTTAGGTATGTTTTACATCGATATTTGCTAGATTGTTGATATTTTAATGGGCATACAGGATTTGTATGGGCGGACAGACGAGAATTGGTAAATTACTTATCGGTATCCAAACATGAGTGCCGGCAGGGTTATGTACGAAGAAGTTGTCATAAATAATGATGACGCTTTTACCATGATGTTACAGTTCCTAGCTGACAATAGGATGCGGCTTGCAGAGGTGTATGTTGACACCGAGGCGGTCGGTGAAACTCATTCTCACCAGTATTCTTATGATGATGGTTTTGTAGGAGGGTACAGATGGGGTGGTAGTTCAAGCAACTACGTAGGAGGTAGTTCTGTAGGAGGGGTGCCATGAAAAGAATACCTGCAACACACTGAGCCTGGCCTATTTGTTGAGTCTGACGACGTTCAATGGCCTGCTTGGGGGCCAGAGTGGGCTGACATTGAGAACACCATTCGATCTGGGCATACTTCGCATGAGCGAGAAGACGATGTTGGTGTGTTGGTCACGATGATCCTCCTGGCTCGAGCTATCCATTCGTATCTAGCGACGTGGAAGGTGAGGAAGATTTAAGATCAGTTAGCAAGGAGGAAGATACGGACGACGAGGTGGCATTCCATGAGCCACCTACTACACAGAGGTTCCATTTCAATTTTTAATGGTCAGAACGATGCCCCGACTTTCCCCCTTTGCCCGTGTATAATCCGACGGCCAATTTGGAGGTGGGTATGGCGTTCAGTTCGAAGGACGCTGTTCAAGATGCTTTTAGCGAAGAAGTCATGCGGTGGAATTTCGAGTGGAGGGTAAAATATTCTGACAGCAAAGAACTACATGTCATATGCAAGTATGCTGCAGAGGGTTGTATGTGGCAACTGGGGATATGGGTCACATGTCACCTATACACATTAATAATTTGAAATTAGTACAAATTACACCCACTATATTTTATAAAGTTAAAATATTCAATTGTCATTTTTACCTGGTTCCACCAAGACTTATCACACTCAGCACGTTAAAACAGTAAAGAGTGCTTTGGTTGGTGGTCATTTGTATTTGCTCTAATCCACCTTGTAAGTAAAAGTACATATAAGAACTTTTTAAAGCATAGAGGCTAAGCATGTAAGAATTTCTTAAGCACTTAATCAATTGAAGTAATAAATCTAAATTATATAGGATTGCATAGTTGGAATAAATCTAAATTAAATAAAGTTAAGCATGTCGTACATTTTAGCTTATAATCAAATATAAAATGCCTACTAAGCATGTAATATAAATGTAATAAAGTTTAGCTTATAATAAAATCTAAGTACATAAATGTAAATACAAAGTTGCAAGTAAATTGAACTTACTTGACACCATAGGGGGGATTGCCACAGCTCGTAGCTCCTCATTAGGCGCCCAGAATTTTTGCAGGTCTCGAGGTGCGAACATCGGAAGATGCTCTCATGCCCAGAGCTTAAGGATGAACATCGCACCAATAGCTTGTTTCCCTTTCAACTTTAAGCAAGTACACAGTTCCCGGTATACCCCAGCTAACACGACCGACCACTAACTCTTTCTCTCGATCGTGTCCCAATCACCGAGGAGCTACGACAACTACATGCCTTGTATCCACCTGTTTGCCTTGTCGGAGAACATAAATTCACCAACCAAGCCAATGAGGTAACGCGTGCATACCGCTCCACTTGATCTTTGGGGGTGTTTGGGCCGATATGAACCGCATTTTGGATGCGATCAACGAGCCACGGGATCGATACTTGCCACACATTCAGCGGTGGATGCCCATGTCCTTTGACTTCAGTCTGGGGCGGCATGTTGAACCCCATACACTAGAGAATCAGTGGCCCCAACCTTCTTCAGGTTTTCTTGAGTGGCCGATGATGGCCTCTCTAGTGACCGATAGTCCAGTGAGGATGACCACATCTCTGAGGGTGATCGTCATTTCCCCCTCGAGATAGTGGAACATATATGTTTCGGGGCGCCATCGCTCTGCCATTGCCGCCAGCAGATCGTTGCCAATATCAATCTGCATGAAGTGCCTCACCATATCCATTGGAATAAATCCATTAAGGAAATCAAGTTTGAGTATAAACCAAAACCCAGAAAGGAAAGAAAGAATAAACACAAACCTGGGTAGGTAAAAATTGACTTTCTTAAGTAACATGGTGCATAAAACCACCATCTAAACTAGTCAGTGGACAACCCTTCTCTGGCAAGTTCATCGTCGAGATGTTCTTGCAGCCGATGAATCCATAAAAAATAAATCAAAGTTTGAGCATCACCTAACACCCTAAAAGTAGAAAGAAAAAAACAATGAAATAGAGGTAGTTACTCACCATTATAGGTGTCAATCGGACGGGTTTGGGTCGGGTTCAATCGGGTCGCGGATTAATCGGGTTGCGGGTCAAGCAAGTTCAAGTTGATCGGGTTACGGGTCAATTGGGTTGCGGGTCAATCGGGTTGTGGGTCAATCGGGGTCAGTTCAGTCGGGTTGCGGATCAACAGGGGTGTGGGTTAATCAGATTGCATGTCAATCGGGTTCGGGTGGATCGGATTGCGGATTATTCGGGTTATGGGTTGTTCGGTCCAAATAATTGAATTATTATTTTTTAATGATTAGTTATTAACCTATTATACCTATCTAAAACAAACTCACCAATCACTATTTTGCAATTAAAAAACATGAAGGTACATTATTAAACAAATGAATGGCCATAAATTAAGATGTGGAGAAGGGTTTGTGGGAGAACATTGCTTTTGAGAGGAAAGCGCCATTGCTCCCAAATCTTGAGGTGCAACTGCCAAGTCTTTACTGCATCCGAGTGTCCAAATCAACAAACTAAAGAGAACCAACTAACAAAGAAATATTTTCTAGTTTACCAAAATTGGGATACTTCTCTTGAAAGATCACCAAATAGATGGTGGGGAATAATCTGAGCATGTGCCCTCCATGTACTCGAAAGAATACATAAGTTCCAGAATCATAAGATCAAATAAATACACAACTAATAAACAAAAATCCTTATTCTTCAATGCACTGCCCATAGACAACCGTGAGTAGCAAACTATATACATGTAAGGGTGATAGATATCACAAAGTAGCAAGCATTCATTAATTAATGTAGATCATATTTAAATCTATTCCCTTGGGGTCAATACACAGATCATTGTGGATGCATACACTAGTGCTCCTTAATTTGTAAAGTTGAAGGGAAATTGAGATTGTGGAGGTATGAATATTATCTACCTCGCTTGCTGTATCAAATATCAATCAATCTCACGTCTGTATTGAGGAGGATTGGTCAAATGAACAAAAGAAAAGTGCTCAATTAGATTCTAGGGCTATGCACATTCTGTTGTCTGCTATATCAGATGATGAAGGTGAAAGAGTCAACAAATCCGAAACTGCCAAAGAAATTTGGACAATTCTGGAAACCACTCATGAAGGAACTTCAGAAGTAAAAGAAACTAGAATTGATCTACTACTAAAAGAATATGAAACCTTTGACATGTTATCAGGAGAATCTATCTCTGAAATGGACAAAAGATTTTCTACTTTGGTAAATCGACTCAAAGGGCTAGGAAAAAGCTTCTCTAGCAAAGAACTAGTAAGAAAAGTCCTTAGATCTCTTCCCCTTGAATGGATGGCCAAGAGAACTGCTATAGAGGAAGCTAAAGATCTAAACATTTTGTCCTTAGAAAACTTGATAGGATCCCTCCTTAGTCATGAGGAAGTTCTGAAGCAAATGAACTCTCTTCATGACAGAAAGAACAAGTCTATAGCCTTTACTTCTATGTGTGGTAATGAAGGAGAGAAACTGGATGAGGAGTTTGAAAATGAACTTGCTCTCACTAGCAAAAAACTCCAACGAATGATGAAATTCAAACATGATAAAAATGCAAAAAGGGGAAGTCAAAGCAATAGCTATTCTTTCAGACCATCTGGAAACATGCTCAATCACTCCCCTAGAAACTTTGGACATCACTCTGGAAGTTCAAATGACAAAAACTCATTTGCTACTAACAGACATGATACTAGTCCTAAAGATGTCAAAAGTTCTACTGAAATCAAATCTGACTCAACTATTTGTTTTAAATGTGGAAAAAAGGTCACATTAGGGTCAACTGCCCCCTAAACAAAAAGAAGGAAAAGGCTATGACAGCTACCTGGAGTGACTACAGCTCAGAAGAAGAGGCTGATAATGTTTCCTACATGGGGTTGAACTCCAACATTGAGGATGACAATGCAAATGATCAGAATAATAAAGGTGCTAACATCTGGTACTTAGATTCTGGATGCTCGCATCATATGACTGGTAACAAAGCTCTTTTCTCTTTTCTTAACCCAAAA